GAGCCTTCCCTTTTTCAGGCGGAACAGCCCCAACTCTCTCAGCCTGTCCTCACAGCAGAGCTGCTCCAGCCCTTGGATCATCCTGGTGGCCCTTCTCTGGACTTGTTCTAACTGGTCCATGTCTCTTCCTCACAGGACAGAGATTTGAGGCTGCCCATGTCCCCAGAGGTCACACACAAGCCACCCAGCTGCAGCACCAGCTCCATTTTCCTTCACAAAAGAGGAAGTGCTGACAGGCAGAAACCCCCACACCGCTCTGACACCGTACGGGATCGTTCCTGGGCCACAGCCAAGGGGTTACAAGTTCCCCAAAGTTAACAGAAGCCAGGAAGCACCAGTGGAGACACATCATGAATCACAACTTCACAGCCAGTCCCTGAAGCGCCTCAGACCAGACTGTCCTGGGCTGGGCCAGGCCAGGCTGCCAGTTCAGCTCCCCCATGGCCATCGGGATCGCGGCACCTCAAAGCAAAACCTAAATCCTAAAGCAAAACCTAAACCTGGTGAGGAGCAGCAGCAGCAGAGCTGGTTTGTCTCTCAGCCTCGTGCAGGAAACCTCAGCCTGCTTTGGAAGGTCCCCACTGTCTAATAACAGCTCCAGTCTGCTGACAAAGGCAGCTGGGAGAGAGAGCACCTTCATCTTTGTAGGGGGCCTACAAGAAAGCTGGGCAGTTAATGACAGAACAAGGGGTGATGGCTCTAAACTGGCAGAGGGGAGATGGAGATGAGATCTGAGGAAGAAGTTCTTCACTGTGAGGGTGGTGAGACAGTGTCCCAAGTTGCCCAGAGAAGCTGTGGCTGCTCCTCCCTGGAAGTGTTGAAGGCCAGGTTGGATGAGGCTTTGAGCAACCTGGTCTAGTGGAAGGTGTCCCTGCTGCTGGCAGGGGGGTTGGGACTGGAGGAGCTTTAAGGTCCCTTCCCACCCAAACCAGTCTGGGATTCTATGGTCTCCTCACAGCCCCGTGACACGCAGAGGGGACACCACACCTCGCAGGTGCAGTTTGGGGACCTGTCAAACAGGGGACTCTGCAAACCCAACTGTGAAGAGCAAGTGACCTCCTGGCAGTCAGACAAAGCCATCCCTGTGTAGGACGAGGACAGGCAGCCTTCCCCTGGGAGATTTACCTTCTTGCTGCAGCCTCTGCAGGGAGCTTTGTAGGAGGAAAGCTGTTTCTCCACGCTGGAAGCCTTCTCCACCTTCTTGGGGTCGAAGGGCATGCGGCAGAGCGGGCAGAGGGGGGACGGCACTTGCAGACAGGGCTGCAGACACTCCCCACAAAACCTGGGGACACCGAGAGCAGCGTCAAGTGACCCAGCCCAGGAGGAGGAGGAGGATGGGGGGGTAGGACCCCAGCCCAGGGCAAACCCACTCCCGGGGACTCCTGCACACCCCAGGCTGCAGGGCAGGGCAAGGGATCAGCATCCCCACATCACCCCCCCGTGAGTGTCCCCAGCCCCAGAGGAGGTGGGGGTGGGACACAG